TTGTAATATGTATTAAACTTGTATTATAAATGAAATAAAAGTGATCAAGTGAAAAAAAATAATATTGCTATAAATGATAAAAAAAAATTTTATAGTATAATTATGTAAGTTTCCATTTAAATCAATCTCAACCATAAATTATTATATAGCACACATGACATGATTGTATAAGATCATTGATCATTACTTGATCTAATTACACTTGATCGGATCTTTATTCCTATTAAAGCCAGAAAAGATAAAAAGAAATCAACCACTATTACTTTGGATTTATTTTTCTTTCAAAGGAAAATATTCTGCTCTTTCTATTAAACCTTTTTTTTTCTTTTTCTTGATGATAAACAAACTCTTCATAGGAAAACTATCAAAACTCTTATGTAAAGACACCGGTCCATTCTCCGATCAATCTAACATCTCTTTTCACGTCCACAATTAAAGCGTGGATTAAAAATCCAAACGGATGTAGACTGACTTTATAACCATGTAAATATACTAATCCATTTCTCAATCAATATAGATTTTTACCCATTCTAACATTTTTAATCAAAGAGAAAGTAAAATCATCAATATTACGATCAAAACTTAAAATATGATAATTAAGTCCATAGATACTTACACCTCACATCTACTTCATGCACTAGGTAAAAAATAAACTACATGAATATGAACACAAATATAGAGGAACTCATATTTCACATTATTATATATTATTAATAGATGGAAATAAAGCACATCGCAATTTCAAACAAACTCATTTTTTTTTCCACAAATTCAATCAAACACAACAAGGCACAACACAATTTCAGGTACATTTTCCTTAAACTTCCTTTGTATCACAGGTATAATATGTATCCTACGGTACATGCAATGATGTATATTTTTTATCAAAATTAAAGAGCTAGATATACTTTTTTCTAGGGCATGCAAAAACACTCATCTATAAAATTCACCAAGTTTTTGTTATAAAAAGGAAATAGGAAATAATCGATAACTTATTTCAAGCAATAAAATGGTACACCATATATTAAGCCCAAATAAGGCCTAATATCGGCCCAAATAATGGACCTATAAAGGGATTATTTGCATGGCATGACCTTTTTTAAGATTACAACGATAACAATAATAACATAGTTGGTGTAACTCTATAAATCAAGTTCGAGAAGGATAGAATATATGTAGATGTTATTCCTATTTACATAGAGTAAGAAGATTTCGATAGACCCTCGATTCAAAGCAAAGATTAAAGAATATGTGTATATATATACACACACTATCAAGAAGAAGAGACTAGTCCTCTGTCACGCCCACACAATTAGTGTTACAACACTCGACTACTGACTAGACTTCTATTCTAATCCTCGGCATCTATATTCTCGACCTCCGTTCCGACAATAAAAGTGAACTAAATTTCTTTCAAAGAAGTAAATTGAATGAATTACTTTGCAAATTTAAACAGTGACATCAAAAGTTCATTTGTGCAAATTCCCAACATCCCTAGCTTCAAATTATAGCATACAGTATTGTAAGTTCTAAAAATTAAGAAGTTTAAGCCTCTTCAAAATACTTAACCAAAAAAACTCAAAATCACTAACAAATTAGTCATAAACTTCAATTACTTGACAAACTCGAATGATTATCGTATTTGGAGTCAAATCATAGTTAGAGTACAAATTTTACAAGATTTACATGGTGAAAATCACATTAGAAATTATAAACAAGTTTGAAGAAGTAAATTAAAATTTTCGTATTTAATTATTGTGATAAATTTGGAGTAAGCGCAGCTTAGATTTATTGAAAACAATTCAAGGATGTTATTAATAAAATTGAAAGTCGTTTTCATGAAGATTTGAACTAATTATTTAAATAAAAAATACAATTGAAAATCACAACAATAACAAAAAAACATTGTTAAATCAGTATCTCACAAATAAAAAATATATAATTGTACCAAGTAATACATATTAATAAAGTGTGTTAAAAATTTAGCTAATATTAGTTAATTTTCATTTGATTTAATATCGCTCTAGGCTATTGTAACATTTACAAATAATATTAATTATCGCTAAAATTAAATCTCTACAATAATTAAACTATTATTATTAAAAATCATTTTTAATGATTTTCTGCTCTTCACCACCAAGATGTAAAATATTTTATATTTTAAATATCATGCTGTCACACATATTGTATAGTTATAATACAACGCATGCTTCAAATGACAAAGTGAGAAATATTAATTAGTCAACAACATCTATACTTAGTATAACTAAAATAAAGTCCTTATTAGTGTGTTAGTATAAAGTTCTTTGGTGTCACAAAAAATATGGCTAAGTTCAGTTAACCCCTTTTTGGAATCGATTGTATTTTTAATAAATGTTAACATCCATAAAGAAATAGTACTATATCTGAATTGCCCATTTTCTATGTTATTTATAGTTCATCTATCTTACGATACTCGGCGTAATTATTTAAAATATTAGTCATTTAAAAATTTAATAGCAATTGTCTTTGATACAAATATTCCAATTATGACTCATAAATAGTGCAATTAAAGATAATTACACTTACAATTTTATATTATTTTTGTTTTATAATTTTTTACAAGGAAATTTCATTTTTTAAAATTTTAAAAAGATTATTTCTTCTATTTGTTTTTTAATTAACTAAGAAATTTAATTTCTCGTAAATATTTAATGAAGAAAAATTGTATCTTAATATATAATATCAAAATATTTTTTTTAATTAATATTTTTTAAAAAGTGTAAAAATAAATACGATAAATATTTTAAAACGTAGGAAGTATTAAATAATTAACGCTAAGGATGGTGACAGGATGAGAACTTTGAATTTGAATTGAATTTGAGCATAAGAATATGATTTTTTTTTCTCTTTTTTTAATCCCTTTTTGTTCTTTGAACTTTATTAGGGCACTATTTATAATCACGTGATAAAATTAATTAAGTCTTTTTGATGATACTATCAACTTTGCAAGTTGCAAATTCCATCCCTACGTGGAGTACTATTCTTCCAAGATTTTTCTAGAAGGAACTCTATATATCTATTCAAAGAAATATTTTTTATTTAGAAAATAGTGTTAAATAAATTATTGATTATATTCTTTTTAATTATTTCAGAACGCAACGCGAAAAATTGTATGACCGATAAGAAAGGAGAATTTTTCATATTTTTTGAGATACAATCTATAATGAAGTAAAAAAAAAAGTCAAAACAAGTGATTGTAGCCTTATAGAAAGAAAATTGATTCTTGAATCTTTTTTGCGCTCATGTCATGTTAAGACATAACCAAAAAAAAGTAGCAAAATTTGATTCAATTTATCATGATTGATTAGTCGTTCATTAATTTGTCAGATCTCTATTATTGTGTGTTAATATTTTACAATATAACTTCGTCTGCCAAAGTTAGATCGATTTAAAAAAAATCACTTTGATATATTTTGTTTAATCTTTTCTTCATTTTAGTTGAATTCGTATTCAATATAATTCTATTACAATCTAATTATTCATACACATGATACTAGCATTTGAATTTTACTTTTTGTTTTTTGGTGTGTCAGGACTATACTTCAAGAGTCTTGGAACTTTCTCAACTAGACATGAACTTTTTACATTGCTAATTCAAAGAATTTCGATTGAATCAAGGGTACGAAGGAGAATTAGTCATTTGATTTTATAAATTAATCGAGATTGAAAAATGTGATACGAAAAAAGATTGAGAACAAATCATTTTTTAAATGAACATGAAATTATTTTGTTTGAACAACGTACGAAAAATAGTTAAAGATAATAAAGTAGGTAAAACAATTGACTTTTACGAACTATGTCAATCATTATTGGATAGTAATTTTAAGAGTTGAACGAGAATAAATACCCTACAAACAAGTCAAATTAGACTCCTAAATGAAATAACCTTTAATCGATCCATTTTACATTTGATCAAATCAAAATAAAAATTATAACATAGAAAAACAATCCCCCAAGAAACCCATTGACCTACCAAATTTAAAAGTAGGTTTTAACCAATGAGCAAACTTAAAGAGTAGAGCTCAAAAGAGCTAAATTCATGAATGAGGACCTCATTGCTCCAAATAAAAAATTAATTTGTTCTCTAGTTAATTATTTTATTCATTAATAATATATGAGATAAGCAATAAAATTATGATCTATGTGCTTAGATTGGATTATACACTTTTCTACCAAAGTGGGATTTTGACTTCTAGATAACTTTAAAAAATAAATTATTTCATAAAAGATCCCAAGTAAATTGTGTACGATGCACTTGGATCACCTATAATATTAAGAAAAATATAATTATAGGATATGATAGCTTTTAGCTCTACCTAACATCTAAGACCAAAAGAATCTTCTTTGTTTCCTTTTTTTATTTTTTATTTTGTGTTTGAAAATGGACCAAAATAGTAACCATTTTATGTGAAAAAGATCTATTGAGAGTTTCCAAGAAAGGCTCTACAAAATTAGCATATAGTATTTTCTTTGTTAAATTCATACCAACTTGCAAATTTTTATTTGTCAACCTATGTATAAATAAAAGTCAAGTTCTTTCAATGGGAATAGTTAAAAAGTGTCGCATTCAATTTAGGTTTGTTTATTTGGATTAACATGTGTTAAGAAGATCGTCGATGTTGAAAAATGTAATATATAAAAAGCTCAATTTATTTTCACACTTCGAAATATGACACGTTTTATTTGAGTCTAATAATACATTTGTCCATATACACGTTCTTTTTTAAATCAATCTACTTGAGTGGCTCGTGATAGGAAAAACCTTATACACATACGTGTTAAATAACTCCTTTTTAAGACTGTAATACAGGTCAAATCTGTCTATTTTAAAATGTGTCAGATTCCTTTCTCATCATCAATAGTATTACATTTTTTGGATACAAAAATTATATTGTGAACCTGTTTTTCGAACGTTAAATTAAACACGAAAATAGAAGAATGAGACTAACTAGTTATCTAGCAAAATCATTCGCTTAGAAATTTAAATACATCCATCACCAAAATTTTTACAATATAGTGACCTTCAAGTAAAGAACAAAGAGATGTAACCCTCCCCCCACCACCCCCACCCCAAAAAAGTAACAAAAATAAAATAATTAATAAAAAAAAACCCATGGACTAATCTTTGATTTTACCATGGACTAAAATAAGTTGCATCACAACTACTTTGATCACTTGAACTACTACTTAAAAGTTGTTCTAAATAATCAGCACCCAAATCTTCAAACACAACTACATTATTTACATTTTCCATTTTAACTTCCCTCACTACTTTACTAATACTATTAACTTTTTTGGAATTCGTGCTCCTTTTCCTCATGGAGTGGCGCTTTTTAAGCGCCACTACAGGGGAGCAATCATCGTCTACGTGACATTTCATGTCACGTAGCGAATCCCTAACGGTCTCCACTGGAAAATTCAAAATGGCAGAATTACCCCTCATTGAAAACGCAGCTTGATCATAAGCTAAAGCAGCATCTTCCGCGCTATCAAATGTCCCTAACCATACTCGAACCCCATTTCTCGTAGAATCTCTTATCTCCGCTGCGAATTTACCCCATGGACGCCTCCTAACACCTCGGTACGACTTCTCCTTCGCCGGTATTGCTTCAATAACCTCGGATTCTGAGGTAACTTCTTCTTCTTTAACGCGATGCGATGTGACTGTTTCGGATGTTGTTTCTTCATGAGCAGCGTTAAGAACTCCGAAGAGAAGCATCTCTTCGGAGTCGTTCACGTTGAAAGGGAGATAAGATTGTGTGTTGAAATTGGACCATTCGTATGAAGAATCTGATGAATTTAAATCAGAATTCATTGAGTAGAAGAATTGAGATGAAGAAGAAGAAGAATCCATTTATTTTTTTGGAAAAAAAAAATGAATGCTCTGTTTGTTTTTTTTTTGGGGGATGCTCTGTTTTTTTTTCTTTTTCAAGTTATAGTCCAATACTAGGAGAATTAACACTTTGGGCTTGGTTGGCCTTGTTTATATATATATATCTAAAAATTGAATTGGGTCCCACAAGGAAAATCTAAATGGACATAAAAATTTTATTAAATTATTTGTAGGTGGAGCCAAATATGAAAAAAAATAAAATACTTTTTATGTCCCAATATCGTTTTTTTACAAATCGAACAATTTAAGTTTAATAAAAAATTCGACTATAGAATTTTTAATTTTTTAGAGATAAAACTTATATGTTGCTGATTATGTAAAAAAATTATTATAAATCACATTTAAAAGATGTATGAAAAATTTACGATCGTGATAAATGTATTTGAATTTCAAAAATTAAAATATGTCACATGAATTGAGACTGAGGGAGTAACTATCTAAGTTAGATTAAGTGACAAATATTTCTTTATTCATCAGCCTTGTCTAGTTCGAGCACATGATATAGAATTGCCTTTGATAAAGTTGTGTTTTGCTTTCTAGAATGAGACTTACTGGTAATTGGTTGGTCTCTAGAGTGGGCATTGGATATCGGACGGGAATTTTTATTTTTTAAAAAAAATAATAATAGGGGACTAGGGGTAAAATAGGTAGTGCAAGAGAAAGGAAGGGTAAAATGGGGAAATGAAAAAAAGAAGAGTGACCAACGAGGATGTTTTGAGAATATTTTAATTTTTTGTTAATTATTTTAATGGCAAATTGTAACAATGGGCCAATAGCGCACGTGGGCAAATCAATCAAGGCGGCGGATTTAATGACGTCAGCAACCTGGACGTTTTATTGACTTCACTTATTTTTATTTAGTTATTTTTCCCTGAAAAAGATTTTAATTATTTTTCAAAATTATTGGTGAAGAAAAAAGGGGAAATAGTCTCAAGTATATATGTGATCCAAATATAAAAATAAAATAAAATCCAGTTAAATCACCTACTTAATTAATAAAAATTTTGTTTTAGGTATATAATAACAAATCAACAAATGTTTGAATATATATTTGAGTTTGTGGATCAAGCGATTTTTCAAATGAAAGAATCACAAATTTGATATTTTTGTATGTTTATTCGACTCATCGTACAAGGCTTATCTAGTGTAAATTGCTTCTATTATATTATACTGATGTAATTGAAGAAAGAATAACAACGATATATTCTCTTATCAACAGAAAAAAAGAAAAAAAATTTATGAGTAGCTTAACAATATGATTTTAATTCAATATATTAAAAGATAGTAGATTGAAATTAACAAAATTTATTCTTGAAACGAGTAGCTTTGGTTCGGTTAATATATTTATATTAAAAAAATTATAAAATATATATATTAATAAAATTCAAAACTTAATTAATCAAAAAATTTAAATTTTAACTCCATCGAGATTAAATTCAAAAGGAAAATAAACTCTTTCTTTCGTCACTATCTGACTTGAAACTACAAACTTGTTTTCCAAGCATAGTTGAATTAATTAAGAACGGTATAAGATAAGGTTTTTGACTGTTACTGCAGGAATTTTGACTCATTAACAAGTAAACAAAATTAATAAACTACTTCGATCACGTTTTTTTCTCAATTGATGTTTGATATATATATTAAAGGAAAACAGGATAAATATATTTGCAAACTATTATAAATAGTATACAGTTATCCTCCGTCATAATTTTGAGGTATTGATGCCTCTATCGTCTATAGACTAGATTCTATGTGTCCTTCGTCTAAAGGAAGATTAAAAAAAAAAGGACACGTGACACAAATTTATTCGTCGATAAATATCAAATCGGTGAAAAAGATTATGACGTATGTATGTCCGCTAGCATAAAGGGTATATATATGCTCTAACTTTTGGACAACAAAAACATTAATGTCTCAAAAGTATGACGAAGAGTACTTACATATCATTTACGATAGTGTAAAGATATATATTTCCTTTTTCTATATATTAAAATTGATTAAATTTTAACTCTTTTATTGCATAACTTATAACTAGGAACTCGATTTTTGAAACTCATAGATAATATATTTAATTTTCTTGACCAAAAATCATAGGTATGTGCCTTGAGAAAAATATAACGCACGTTCCAGAATAAAATAAAAAAAAATATTGACTCATTTTTATTTATTTTTCCATGAATGAATTGGTCGAATTTTGCTGCAAAAGAAATTTCAATTGTGAAATTTTTCAAAGAAGAATATTCAAGAATTGTCTAGCTTTTTTTGAAATCAAGGTTATTAGTAATTGAAAATGGGTAAATTTTTATGAGTCAATGCTGTAATAGTTATTCAATATATGGTTTAATTATATATAAATTATATTTGGGAAAAAGGGGATTTCTCCTTTGCCTCATAAATATGTTGACCATTATTTTGGATTTATAAAAGTTCAATCTCTCTTGCTTCTAGAAAAGTCACGCTTTCTGGTCGCTGCAAGATTATTTTTTTTCTCGATTTAGTGTTTCAATTTATTTTGAGGTTAAATTAATTTAATTTAGCGTTAAAATTTTTAATTTGAGGAAATAAAGTATTTACTTTCAAAAGGTCGTATGTTTAGAATTAGAAAAATGCACAAGTATTCCCTCAACCAATGCATGAAATTTCAGAGACACACTTATACTGTACTAAGGTCCTATTGCCCCGTGAACTTATTTTATAAGTAATTTTTTACCCTTTTTCGACCTACGTGGCACTAGCTTGAAAGAAAAAATCAATCAGCGTTGGGTCTACAAGATAGTATCACGTAGGCCAAAAAGGGATAGAAAATTATTAATAAAATAAGTTCAGAGGGTAATAAAACCTTAGTATAGTATAAATATGTCTCTGAGATTTCGAGCATATGTTGAGGGACTATTTATGCATTATCCCTTTAGAATTCGAATTGAAGATATCTGATTAAAAAATAATAATAATTAATTATCACTCCACCTCAATTTTTTTTGCTGGCGTTTGCATAACATTAGATAATTAATTATTCATGCAAGAAAAATAATAAATTTGATTAACGATATTGAATAATATTATGGACATCAAGTTATGCTAAAATAAACACTAAGAAATTAATATTGAAATATTTTTTTTTTTGACGTAGAATGATTTATCTTTTCATCTCAAGTAGAATAAATAATTCTTTATTATTAATCATTACGTATTATTTAAATTAAAATTTCACCTTCCAAATTTAGAACTTAATGAAATCTAGAACGTATATTTTTAAGTTTAGCTGACACTATCCGATAATGACAGCCCAATTATTCAGATTAAAGAAAAAAAAATAGTAACTGACACGAATAATTAATAAATCGTCGTGTGGAGTCGACCATTTTTACTTCTCCGAATTTTAATCAGTTTGTCTGATTTTATCAAAATTAATTTTTTTTAAAATGTTTTTTTTATTGGGATATAATATAGCATGTGATTTTCAATGAACATAAAAGTAAAACTCTTATGTTCGCAGAAATATGATATATGGATACATCAATTCTAGCAATTTTCAAATAGTTCAGGATCTCCGGATGACTAAAAAGTAATCGCTGGATTTATATGTATATTGATATGATGATATGTATAGTGGCATCGTATTAAATAACGAGTATGTTGTCATTTTAGATTTAAGACAATTTCATCTAAAAGTTTAAAAATATCAAACCGGATAAAAAGGAATGGTAATTTGGTCTCCATATATTATCTTGGACAATCCTCCATTCATAAGTTGTCTTAGCACATGATCCATCTTTACAATGTATCAGAGTCAGACTCATCTCAACTCGATTCACTAAAGATTGTACACCAAATTATAGTGTCCACGCTCTGGTTAACAAGATCTGGACATGCAAGGAAGTGTCAAGAATTTCCAATCGAAGAATGAATGATAATTTGATCTCTATATATGGACTTTAACAATCCTCCCCTCGTAAAATTAAGGACCGAATTACTTACAAAATTTAACTAAAAGTATACTCTCTTTTTTTCTAACTAGTTCAATGAATTACTTGATATTTTAAAGTTGGATACTGTTATTTTTATCTATGAAGTGAATCATCAAATTTCCAGTTGCGTGTTTAATCTTAATTTGATTTTCTTACACTACTTTAATTAATTCTTGGTCAGCATTTCACCCTTTTTTATATAGGATTCATGTGAACTTCTAATTTTTCTTTCTAAGTCTAAAAAATATGCCAAATTCATAGTAGTTCACTAACATGCCAAGCCATGGAAAATGACATTTTATGGAAATAGTCATGAATGGAATATATTTTCCTTTTTGCTTCAATTATTTTATATTTTATTTATCATATATAGACATAGGTTGATACTAAAAATAGATCGAGAAAATTTATTATATGTACATATTCAACAATTTTTTTTCAACAAATATATAGAATTTGAACCAAATTGCTGAATTTTGTTGAATTCGTACTTTTCATGATAGTCTTCGCCTCGAAGGCAGATCCAAGGCTTTAGATTTAGAATACCATGAAATCAATAGGTTTTGATCATATCATGTATATACTGTTAACTCAGTTATCAATATAAATTAATTTTAGATTACAAGTTCAAATTCTGAATTCGTTTTCTATTTTTTCCTAACGAATGCAACATATTGACAACAAAGTCGTCAGTCAAACTCAGTAAGTAGATTCAACATGAAAAATAGATTTACATGAGAAAATCCATTTAAATTTTACTAAACTTCATATCAGAATTTTAAAAGAACGACGAATATCAAATTTAAATTTTTTGAGTAATACTATTTTGATTAAAGAGAGAATATAGTAGGGTTCATTCACTCTTGACAAAATGACATTTGTCAATTTAAAATAGAAACAAAATATATGAAAATGATATGGAAATTGAATTTGTCTAAATACAGATCCCCTTGAAATGTCACACACACACAAAAAAAAAGTCATTAAAATTTGGATATTGTTGAGGTTTGAAAGTCCTCCTATAAGAAAGGATACTGCACATTGATATTGACCTTTCCATCAAAGAGTTAATTCCC